TTTTCAAGGTTCTAAACCAAAGTTCATTCAACAACCCCCAAAATTTTTAAGAAATGATTGCAATGAACAATTTTTAGGTGAATTTCCTTTTTAGCCTCAAAGATATCCATACTTACAGGGTACTACACAGAAATTTCACATCATCTTGAGAGGTCTTGGCACAAAACAATTCTAGGTAAAATAAACAAGTTGTTGCTGTCCTTAATGCTATTCTCAGCATTCTGAACTGCCAATCAAGGTAAGCTTCATCACAAGTATTCCTTCCAAAAAGTACTAGCCCCCACTGAGAATCTATCAAAGTACTTCCTTCTAAGCCATCTGTCCAGGAAAACTCTATTACAACACCTAGAATTCAGTTTTTTTTTTTTCCTTCTGAGGCTATGAATAAACATAAAACACTAAAGTAGATTACACTGTATATTATTTTCCACTTCAAACACTGAGAAGCTAAATCTATTCCAATGCCTAGGCTGAATGCAAAACCTGAATGTAAAACTGCAGCTTAACCAAAGACATTTTTTTTCTTCAAAAAAGAAAAAAAAAAAACATATAAAACATTGAAAAAAACAGCTAGGGCTGGGTTTGTGGCTCAGCTGTAGAGCACTGGCCTAGCACGTGCAAGGCGCAAGGTTCGATCCTCAGCACCACATAAAATTAAAAAAATAAAATATATCGTGTCCAACTACTACATACACACACACATACACACACACACACACACATATGTAGAGAGAAAGCAGTTAAGGGGAAGTGTATATACATTATTCCCTGATGGAAAAGGGACTCAATTAAATTTTAAAACAGGAATTTAAATTACTAAGCTACAAACTACACATTGGTTTGCTTACTGATCTGCAAACACTATACAAGCGTAAGTTTTTCTACTTTTAGTTGGAAGAATCCAAAACTAATCTTTTACATTCCAGTAGAGAAGAAAATTGCACAAATTTCAATGAGGAAAAAGTAGCATGTTATATATAAGAGCTTAATGCTAAAAACTAAGAATGATGAAAAGAAATTATTCTGAGGATAAATGAATAACAGGAAAAGAAATAAGACTTTTAATTCTCCCCTCAACTCCATTCTTCCTTCTGCTGAAGGATGTTCTTTTTACAGTAAGTATACTGCCTAGGAAATAATTTCTGATCAATGAACATATCAAAACTTCTTCACAAAAGCAATATGTGCTCTTTTTCTGGCTGGAACCATGGAGGGTGCTGAAAAAAAAAGAAAAAGAAAGCTCCTACTGTACCAGCAGAAACCCTTTAGAAGCAGCAAAAAAATTTCACAGAGCTGAATGTAAAGCACCTGAGAAAGAAGTTTGCCCAAAAGATGCTTCAAAAGGCAAGAAGGAAGCTTATTTATGAAAAGCCAAGCATTACCACAAGGAATACAAGCAGATATACAGAACAGAGATTCAAATGTCTAGGATGGCAAGAAAGCTGGCAACTTCCATGTACCTGCAGAATCCAAATTGGCATTTGTTATCGGGATCACAGGTATCAATTGTTTGAGTCCAAAAGTTTGTAAGGTGCTACAACTTCTTCACCTTTGTTGATCTTCATTGGCACCTTCGTTAAGCTCAACAAGGGTTCGATAAACATGTTGAGGATCATGGAACCATATGTTACATGGGGGTACCCAAACCTGAAGTCAGTGAATGAGCTTATCTACAAGCGTGGATATGGCAAAAATCAGTAAGAAACCAAAAACAAAAAAACATTTTGACTGCTCAGTCTCTTGGTAAATACAGCATAATCTGCAAGGAGTATCTGATTCATAAGATCTACACTGTTGGAAAACAATTTAAATTTATTGTAGTAACATTACCAATGGTCATTTGGTTACAAACCAGACCAAATTTACTGGCTAAGACACTGAGAGCTCAGGCTGGTGAAAACATTCTGGGGGTAAGCTCACTTGCCATTTATTTTCAACATAAACTTAAAAGACTGTTGCAGCTATGATTTAAATGGGGGGGAAAAAAAAAAAGCTCACCCAGCTGGCACAGTGGCATACACCTGTAAAATAACTTTCTGTGGCCCTTCAAATTATCTTCTCCAAGAAGAGAAGGAAAAAGACCAGCCATTTTGTAGAAGGTGGAGATGCTGGCAACAGGGAAGACCAGATCAGATCAGCAGGCTTATTACAAGGATGAATTAAGGTATCTACCATGGTATTTTTGTAATCTGGTCAGTTAACAAAACAGTACTTGTCTCAATATTAAAAAAAAGAAGTTAAGCTCAATCCCTAGACTGCAGCCTCTTCAACAAATGGAGCACATTCTAAATGTGAGGTGTTTCTCAGCAATTATAAGTTATTGAGAGACTACCGGAATAGGCTGAGGCTACTTAAAGGTTCTGAGGGACAGAATGGGAAAGGAATACCACCCCAAAGTCAAGAAAGACAACTCCATTTCACTTAGGCTTTTCAAATATTCCAATGAAGTTTAAATTTTTCAAGAGAGTATGTAAATATTAAATACCAATCTTCAGTATTAATGTGGAAAAAGTGTCACCAGTGCACTGATTTTAACTACCTAATCCTCATTTACAACTAAAATGTCCTCCTGCCTATCCATAAACACAGAATGTTAAAAGAATACAAATTTACTGTAGTAACATTACCAATGGTCATTTGCTTACAACCAGCCAAAATTCACTGGCTAAGACATTGAGAACTCGGGCTGGTGAAAGCATTCTTGGGGGAAGCTCATTCGCCATTTATTTTCAACATAAACTTAAAAGACTGTTGCAGCTATGATCTAAGTGGAAAAAAAAAAAGTTCACCCAGCTGGCGTGGTGGCATACACCTGTAATACCAGCTATTCAGGAGGATGAGGTAGGAAGATCACAAATCTGCGGCCAGCCTTGGGAATTCAGTAAGACACTCTCTCAAAATAAAAAGCACTGGGGTTATAGGTAGGTAATAGAGAACCCCTGGGTTCAATCCCCAGTAACTCCCCTAGTCCCCACCCCCAAAAGAAAATAAGTTCATCCAAGTAGGCCAGGGGGATACGCCTGTAATCTTAAAAACTCGGAAGGTTGAGACAGGAGGACTGCAAGTTCGAGGACAGCCTGGGCAATTTAAGACCCTGTCTCAAAAAACAAAGAAAGGGCTGGGGGTGTACCTCAGCAGTAGAGCGTTCCTGGGTTTCAATCCCCAGTACCAAAGGTGGCGAAGGTCAACTGTTAAACATATGTTTTCAGAGTGTCCTATTAAGTGTAGGCACTTAATAACTAACACACCACAGAACATTACTTAAAAGCAATAAATGTATTTGACCTAATGAACAAAATGATGGATCCCATTCTAGGAAATTGAGTCCACTAGATAAACTGGAGTCTTCTTTAAATGTCATTTGTGACAGAATTATACAAAATAACCCATTACTCCATTAAGGTGAGTTCTTACCTTGATCACAAGTTGACCAGTTCATTACAAATTTATTACCACTGACAAACAACCAATAATCAGCATCTCATCCTACTGAATGGACCTTTTTAAAAATTTTTAGTTGCATATGAACCTAATAACTCTACTTTTTTTTTCTTTTTAATGTGGTGCTGAGGATCAAACCCAGGGCCTCACACATGCAAGGCAAGTGCTCTACCACTGAGCCACAATCTTGGCCCCTGAATAAATCTTAAAATATATATATGTATTTTTTTCCAATATCCACTCAAACTGCAAGACATTTACTTGATCTACACTTAAGTTTTCATGAGTAGAATAATAAGAAGACAAATATGTAATGAAAACTTAAAAGAGGCACCCTCAAATGTTCAGAGAATAAAAGGAGATTGTTCTTGCCTTTGTTATTAAAAAATATCTCCAGTTTAACCTGCTATTTAACCTAAACCTCTGAAGTCCAAATGCTTGGTCTTTGGCTTTCCTTAGTTATTAAAAGTTGTGGTCCGGCCATTTTTTTAAAAAAGCAATTCATGTTTTTTCCCTGTCTTTTGCCACTGGCTAAACTCTTTTACCCACAAAAATAAGGAATGTCCAAGCTTCCAGCTTCTGAAAATAACATCTGGTATGTGCACCTAACAAAAAGCTTGAGAGAATGTCCCGGTTTTTTATTTAAAACTTTTTCATTTAAAACAGAATACCTTTAGCAATGATTAGACATAAATCTTTTTTACCTTATTAGGAAACTGCTAATTTCAACATTTACCTTAAACCACAACATGGATTTATCTTCAGAAGTTAGCTTCCTGTCTCTCCCCCAACTACATTAGACTATAATTTTTTTCGTTTTGTTTTTGGCTAACAAGGAACTATTAGACTCCATAATATGTTTCCCAGCTAATATGTTTCAAAAATTTAAAGATTCTACAAAGGCATAAATGTTGCCAGCCTTAAGGATTTCTCTAATTTTTAAAGGTATTTTAATAAACACAGGTATCATTAACTGTTAAAAACTTGTACACCAGTGGGTTCTCGCGTTTGGTTCTGAACTCCTAAGAGTTTCCAAGACCCTTTCAGGGGATCCAAAAGGTTAAAACTATTTGCATGAACAATAATAAGACATTACTCTTATTGTTTACTCTTGTTCTCTCAGGAGATAGAGTTTTCCAGAGGCTATATGAACTGTAGTATCTGAGAAACAGAATGCAGAAACAGATATGAGAATCAATCAGCTCCTCTATTAAGCTAAACAAAAGGAGTTGCAAAAATTTAAATTAATTTCATTCTTTACTAATTTTTGCTTTGAAAAACATTTTACATAAACTGTAATTTATATTAACAGGTACTGAATCTATTGTTACTTATAAGTAAATTAACAAAACAAATTTTTGCTTTAATTTCTAATAAAGCAATATCAATAGGTATAAGCCACACATGGGCCTTTAGGGTCTTAAAATTTTTTAAGACCATTAAGTGGTCCTGAGAACAAAAAGTGTAAGAAGCACCATCGTATACAATTATATAACACAACACAGTGCCTTCCAGGGATAAGAAGCTCAAGTTAATTCTGAAATATAATTACTACTTACCACCCTAATCTTGTTGAGTTCTGTATCTCCTTGTAAAGCATAATTCAGCATAAAGCCAGTCTGTTCTGGGCCCCATTTAATGGGCTTTAGATATTTAATTACTCAGGGTCTTCTTTATAAAAATGTTCTAAGCTGCAATTCCACCTATTATCTGGACAGTGTAGAACGGTTTCTGGATGTTTTCACAAAAATTACTTTTGTGTGAAAAACAGCAACCTGTGAAGTAAATGAAAAATAATACTTCCTCTCTTTTAACAGATGACACAACAAAACTGATACTCAAAGGAATCAGAACTACTTGTCCAAGGATGTATTGCTAGCTAGTAGGGCCTACGATGTTGGTCTTTTGCAATTTGCTTGGCTATCTCGCTTGGGTATAATTGCAAGATCCCAAAGAAAACAAGGCAAGGGCATTACTTTTATTGTCCCAGTGCCAAAACAGGGATTTTTCTCTCCTTAATAAGAATGTAATCAGACTCAATATCCAGTCACAGCATTATTCAACACACTGACTACCCATTTGGTCCTCTACCAAAAAATAAATAAATAAAATTCAAGAGTGTTGGAGGAAAAAAAAAAAAAAAAACAGAACACAACGCTCCAAGATGATCAGTTAAGGACTCCCAGACTTACCAATCATTTAATCATTGAAACAACAGGCAGGCAAGAACAAGATCAAGCTTAACACAATAACACTAGATTATATCAACAAATGAATGCCAACAGGCTAAAATGGGAAGCACAGATGGAAAGGGTTCAATTCACAATGTGGACAGAAGACAAAACCCAAACAAGGTTGAGAAACTAGCTTAATTGGTTTATAAATCCAAGCAAGTGACTAGAATCACCTTTGCAAAGCAGTGTCGGAGGCAAATTTTCTTGCAAGATGCAAAGATGTCATTCTATCCCTTGGACATAAATCACCCATCCTTTAGTTCTAAACATACTAGTTAATTCTTACCATCAGAATAAGTCTCTCTGTTTTGCTCCATTTTAACTTACTGAATTCCTTGATCTCCTGCATCTCTATTCTACAACTAACTGGATTCTCTGATAGGGCAAGACTGATTGACAACAGGATATTTGCCACTAGCATAATTCTTGTCTTTTTTTTTTAAATATGATTGTGTCAGTGAAGCCATTTTTAAGTTTGATGTGATTTTACCTAGAAAAAGTCAAAAGTGTGCTAGCTGTCCACTTTGTATTGAGCAACAGTAATTGCTCCATTCCTTGGAAGGTATGTTTTCCTAGTATTTTATTTTCTTTTCCAAATCTCTTTTGGAAAAAAATTAAGTTCCAGAGCTATAGCTAATGTGCCACCAATCAATTTGAAAAGCAATGTGATACACCCTATTTTTTTGTGCCACACTCAACATTTACTGTTGAAGATATATGTATAGGTTAAGAGTTAATTTACCCAAGTTTCTGCATTCTCAGGAAAGAACTACAATACTACACTGTGAAACCAATTAACTAGTTAATTTTTAAAGCCTACATGTAGAAAAAGACGAGAGTTTACAAACACAAGCAAAGCATCAAACGTCCGAGAGTTTCAAGAAACTGCAGTTATTTCTATTCCTTAACCTAAAGTATGTTTTTCTTTGTAGCTACATTTTCCCCCATCCTTTAAGAAGCAATCTGCGAAGGAGGAGAAGAAACCTGCCAAAAGTGTTAAGCATTCTCTAACCTATCTTCCCAGTCCAACCCAAGAGAAGTGTCACACAGCTAAATCATACCATCGCTATTTCTATATTTCTTTAAACTCGAGATTTCGGAAGTGTACAATTCAAATGTGAACGCTACAACCCTGGCTAATAGTGATCATTTTAAAGCTAATAAACAAAGACTAGCAGCGGCACTAGGGCCCTACCAGGAAGTAATCAAAGCAGGGTGGCCGGTGCGATCCTAAGAAGTCGATAGAGCAGACAATGAGAGGGCACTAGGGGTTCCAAAGGGGCCCGCAGAGGGAGTTAGAAACTTAAGCTACTCAAAAGCATTACATAAACCTAGTAACTGTTTTACAAGAACTCGAACTCTAGAATCCAAACGCAATTCCAGACAACCCAAAATTGTGTCTTTAAACAATCTTAGGCAAACTCGAGCCACCCCTCCAAAAGCAGCTGTTGGCTCAAGCTTCGGAGCTCTAGAGCCTACAGCCTGTTTTCAAACTTCACCCTCCCAGGCTGATGAAAGATTCCGACCTCCGCCGCCCGAGCTTCTGAACGCCTCAGGAGGCTTCGGGTTGCCTGAGCCTGTGGGGAAGGGAAATAAAGCCCGGCCGAGGCAGGAGGCGGCGAAGGGCCCCGCGCGCCCCACAGCCCAGACAAAGCTGCGTCAAGAGAGCGGCTTTTTTTTTATCCAGTCGGGTCCACCGAGGAAACCAAGTCGGGCTCCGCCACACGTGCGGCAGCCCGGCGGGGGCCGGACACCGCCCCCACAACCACCGCCCCCACAACTGCCGACCCCGCAGTACCCACGAGCACAGCCCCCGAGCGCCTCAGGGCGGGGCAAGGGGCGCGAACGCCGGCCAGGGTCCCCGCCCGCAGCGGCCCCGACACGCTCGAGGCCCCCGCGGACTCCCGCCCCTCGCCGGCCGTTCCTTCGCCGGCCGGACCGTCGGGCCGCGAGAAACAAAGGAGCCGCCGCTGCTCCCACCCGCGCCCGCTTCACCGCGTACCCCTCCCCAGCGCGTCGGGCCAGGCTCGCCCTCACCCGTCCCTAGGTCCGCGCACCGGCTGCCTGCGGCCCTTAGACGGCAGGCCCGGCAGAGCCGGGGCCTCGGGTGCGCGGCCGGCCGGCTCGGGGCCGCACTCACCGCTGCAGCACCAGGACGACGGGGAGCCGTTGGGGAACTTGGCTGAGTCCGGAGCGATGCAGACGCTGGAACTGAGGTGCGGGCACTCCATGGCCACGAGGACCGTGGCAGGGAGGACAGAGGCTCCGGGGCCGAACGAGGCGGGGGCGGAGGGACTCTGGAGGCTCCGTCTGGGGTCGCTCCTCGCCGGGCGCTAGGCAGACAGCGGCTGCGTCCCGAGCCCTTGCGTCAAAGAAAGCAAGGGCTTCCGGGCGCCGGGTTTTCCCGCCCGCCCTCTCTCAGCACTCCGCTCCGAAGAACGTGGAATTCCGGGATCCGGGTTCTGCCGCCACCTCTAGACCCGAGGCTTCCGCCTTCCCGGTCAGGCCCCGCCCCCAAGGCCGGCTCCGCCCCTGTGCACTCCCGCGGGTGGGGTCTCCGCGCGCGCTACCCTCATCTGATAGCTCAGGTTCCTGCAGCGCTTGGAAGTGACTTTCCCAATTCCGCTCCCCTGGGCGGCTGCGGCTTCCCTGACTCAGGGAATGGGGCTACCGGGCCCCGGCAGACAAGTCCGGTCCGCTGCGTCTATCGGGTCCGGCGAAGGAGACTGATATTGCTTGGCGTGTTGGTCTGACTACAACGCGGCTTAGTGGTAGAAAAATCTGGCCAAGCAACAGAGGGACAGAAAGAAAATACAAACCACTCGGGCAGACGGGCACCGTAACCCTCCCATTTTACCAAGCAAGAAACAAGCCCGGGGAGATTAAGCCTGGCCCCGTGTTTGCGCCAGTGGGCTGCTTGGGTCCCAGAGCAATCTAATTCTGTCCTTTGAGACAGGTGTGGTTCTGAGCCGGTTCTGAGTTCTGCGCACACGGCCGTAGCTGGAAGATGAGTGGCTGAGCCCATTGGGGCACCCACGAACCTGGATTCAGACCTTGTCACCGTGATTAACTTTCAGCGTTACCAGGAGCACGTCGTCCTGAACTTTACAAATCTCTCTGCTGGAAATTTAAGTGAAATACATGTAACCTGGTTTTCGAGGTCCCGCCAACAGGTGATAAAAAGGGAAGGGATCTAACATTGTTGGACGCGCTGAACCGCTTCCCTGCCAGGCACTTTGCAATACAAAATACCTCATTTAAGCTTCGCTATACCCTACAACTGATGTTACGTTTCTCTTTTTACCGCGGGGGACATCGAGTCTATTAATTTGCTAATCCGTGCCGAGATTAGGTCCTCTGCTCTCTGGCCTATTTTAGAAAAGAGTTTATGGGAGGGCAAACCTCTAGGGGCTGCTTGGATTCGCCTTACACCGGAGCCGGAGGAGCCTGCGACTTAACTAGGGACAGTCTTAAGGACACCAGGGCTGTTACAAATATTGCCTCAGAAGTTTGGGCTCCTTGAAAACCCGTGAAAGGAGCCACAAGGCCAGAAGGCAAGCAAGGGGAGGGGGAAGACTGATGTAGCAATTCAATGGGCAGAGTGGGGGGGGGGGGGAAGGAAGGTCCGGAAATTATTAACTGGGCCGGGTAGTGGTTAGAGTGGGGCACCTCCCTGAAGTGCAATCTTGGAGCAGCCCAAGGTCACTCCCTTGGTCACTTCTCACTACTCCCTCAACCCCAGCAGTCCTCTGCTAATGGTGTCCACCTTCCTGCAGCATCTTTGAGACCTTTCCCCCCCTTTGTTTCTTCAAAGTTCCTTTGCCCTTTTTCAAATTATATTATTGAAGTTATTGCAGTGAGGAGTTATGGAAAGTGCATAGGAAGCCAGGTAAGCAAATGTTCAAATCTTAATTCTGCCATTATTTGGTGGCTAACCTTAGCAAGTGTTTTTAGTCCTTACCCCTCCCCCAACTTTTTTCTTAATCTGTAAAACTGGAAAAATAATACGTATCTGAAAAAGAAATTAAATCACGAGATTTACTACCATGTAGTAGGTATTAAATATAGTTTTGTTTATAACAGCAGTTGTGGGATGCTTCCCACAGGATAAACAATAAACAATAATATCTAACCTTTGCTCAAGCTCTTCCATCTATCTCCTCCTACCAGCCTATTTATCTTTCAGGCTTGGCTCAACCAATCTTCTGTTTCTCTCAGGACATGTTCCCCATTTGGTATCTATAGCCCCTCATTTGGCCATGGAACAGTCTGACTCATGCTGTCTTATACTGGTATGTAATGTTACTTTTTTCACCCTCTCAGAAACTGTTTCCTAATCCCCTAAACCTCAGTTTAAACACCACTTCCTGCAGGGAGGCCTTTTCTGACCCTGCTCCACCCCCAGGGTACCTCCCAGGGTGTGATGCCCTTGACTGCCCCCACACTGCCTTTATAAAACATTCTTCTGCATGTAATTATTTGTTTAATGTCTGTCTTCCCCTTGGAGGTCCGTAAGGGTAGCAAACAAGTCTGTCTGGTTTCCTGCTTTATTTCTAACATAGTATGTAGAACATGGAAGGTGTCCAATAAATAAAGGGTTCAATGAATGGAAGAGTGGGTGAGTGATGCTTTAGCAATATTTAGGAAGAAAGGAGTTTAGGAAGTGCCTATATATATATATATATATATATATATATATATATATGTATCAGGTATTTTCCACCTTGAGAGTAAACTGTACATTTCAATTCTGAGTTTGTGATTTTAAAAGGATCAGACATGTTAAAGCATCTTGTAAGGTATAAACTGCTAAAACAGATATATTAGTATTATATATTATAGTATTATTGTCATCTCTCCATAACCAGAATAAAAATTCCGTGGAACAGGGGCCCTATTTTGGCCATTCTTGATTTTGGTCGTCCCCTAAAGGGTAGACTCAGGCAGTCCAAAGAAGTCCAATGGAATCAGAGACCAGTTTCCTGGGGCTTTTGGTAGCCTGCCCTAAAACAGAGAACTTTCCTGTGTCTTTGAAAGTTTTCACAGTAAGAAAAATTTGAAGGGGGGGGAACCCCTCAGTGAGTAAATGTGTCAAACGGGGGAAGGCCATGGGGCACCCTGGGAAATCTGCCTTTTCATCCATGGATTCTGCAGCTGCATTTAATACAACCTTCGCTTTTTTGTTCTTGGCTGGCATGCCTTTGGCTCCCAAGAGCTCCGACTTACATACCAGCATGCCCAGATAGTGAGGAGGGAGCTTCCAGCTCCATTGCTTTGCACCACCGTTTCCACCACCCCATACCCTACCCAGCCCCCTGGATATCTGCTGGGGCTACCAGCCCAAACACCTGCCAGAAGCAGTGGGCCTATTTTAAAAGTGTGCATTTTTTGCACAGGGGAGGAATGCGCAATTCCAACAGTACTATCAAATGATTCTCGTATAAAGAATGTGTATATACATTGGAGTGGGAAGAAGTGAAAGAAGGGGATGTTCCCAGATGCATAAGAACTGTGATCAGGAAAAAGCTCAAGGTTGCTGCAACCTGCCAAAAATTTAGATTTGTGACTTATGGTAGAATCTGTGGTCCTCAAGAATTACAAAGCTGACCAGGCCCTGTGAAAAAGTAGCTCTGACTATCCCCATTCAGGTAAGACTGATTAGAAACACCCAGAGAGCTGGCTTAAATATTTACTATAGAGATTTTTCTAAGAGCAAACCTCCTTGGAAAACCAAAGTTAGATCAAGAGGAGGCTTCAAAGCATTGAAAAGTGTTGGGGGTGGAGGAGCATCAGCTCAAAAACTCTTCTATCACCAGGTTTCATTTTCCTAGCAGCACTGATCTGATATTTTGTTGCTTGTTTACTTATTTATCTATTATCCATCTCCTCATGAGATTGGAGACCTTGCCAGTCTTGTTCGAAGCCTGATTGCCAACTCCTGGAATACAGCTTGATATATGCCAGGCCTCAGTAACTATTTGTTAAATGACTAAATAAAAGGGGAACAGGGGAAACAGCTCAGAATCCACATCCTCAAGGCTCTGGGTTCAATCCCCAGACAGCAAACCCACTCACCCATCCCCCAAAAAAGGGGTGATGATGGGCATGGGCTTCAGCAGATGCACCCTCACTTTCTTACCCAAGAATATTGGTGGTGTCATTCTTCTCACTTCTTTCCATTCACCCCTTTCACATTACCTCCCCTACATAGTCACCTGTCACCTCCCTTTTGCTAAAGTTTTTGTGTGTTTTTAAAAAAATTGTTCTAGCAGTACCTAAAATCATTCTCCTATTATACATAATGTTCTTCCTCACCACTCTGTGCCCTTCTCATCTGGTACCCTTCTACCTGGCCACCTCCTTCTCCTCCTTCATTAAACACAGTGCCTTCTCAGGGCAATCCTCCATCACTCACACAAGCTGACTTCAAAGTCTTCCCTCACTACCACCCCCACCACCCCCATCTTCTGTCCCTGCAGTTTGTCACAGAGTGCTGTTATTTT